TTCAGGCCAAGTGCTTTGCAAAATCTCCCATATACTAGATTTGTCTGATTGTTTCTTATGGTATCATTTAATTTGTCCCTTATTCCTTCTAAATTCTGTGAAGTGGAAGTTAGGTTTACAAATTTGATTAGATTCAGATTAAAACATAAGTGATAATGCCTACTTCATTCAATTGGACAGAATTTGTTTTTCTGCTTATTAGTGGTCCTAAATTAATTTGAATATTGACCACCAGATTGTACCATTGAAAGGTACATTTTCTTCTTTGCTGTAATTAATTGTCAGACCTTAGGAATATCTAATTCACTAACCTTTTACCTGATGGTTTTAGTATCCATTGATGATCCTTGCCTGAATTCGTTATTACATTGGGGGTCCTAAAATGGTGATTTAAAATTTGACCATTCTTCTAAGTAATTAGCTTGTTTTCTTCTGTAAAGAAGGACTTTTTTTTTTTTTTTTTTTTTTTTTTTTTTTGTGTTTTTTTTTTTTTTTTTTTTTTTTTTTTTTTTTTTTTTTTGAGATGGAGTTTTGCTCTTATTGCCCAGGCTGCAGTGCAGTGGCTCGATCTCAGCTCACTGAAACCTCCATTTCCCGGGTTCAAGCAATTCCCCTGCCTCACCCTCCCAAGTAACTGGGATTGCAAGCGTCCACCACCATACCCGTCTAATTTTTTTTATTTGTAGTAAAGATGGGGTTTCGCCATGTTGGGCAGGTTGGTCTCGAACTCCTTACTTCAGGTGATCCGCCTGTCTCAAGCTACCAAAGTGCTGGGATCACAGGCCTGACTTCACTTTATCCATCCTTTCTTCTCCTTTTGAAGCGTTACCATGAAATGGTGGATTTTTATTTATTCAGTATTCTATTAATTAGTGATATTTCAGTGCTCAAAATTTCCCAAATGTGGTTAGTAGGCATCCCTCTTCAGGCTATCTCCTAGTCTTTTTTTTTTTTTTTTGGAGACAGAGTTTCTTGTCACCCAGGCTAGAGTGCAATGGTGCAACTTCGACTCACTGCAACCTCCGCCTCCCAGGTTCAAGTGGTTCTCCTGCCTCAGCCTACCGAGTAGCTAGGATTACAGGTGCCTGCCACCATGCCCTGCTAATTTTTTATTTTTATTTTTTGAGATGGAGTCTTACTCTGTTGCCAGGCTGGAGTGCACTGGTGCAATCTCTGATCACTGCAGCCTCCTCTTCCTAGGTTCAGGCGATTCTCCTGCCTCAGCCTCCCAAGTATCTGGGACTACAGGCACACACCACCACGCCCAGCTAATTTTTGTATTTTTAGTAGAGATGGGGTTTCACCATATAGGCCAGGATGGCCTCGGCCTCCCACAGTGTTGGGATTACAGTCGTGAGCCACTGCACCTGGCTGCTATCTTCTATTCTTGTGACAAGCCCCCGTCTATTTGTCTTTTAACACTTTCTTGCATTTTACAGCACAACAAGTGTTTCAAGTTTTCTCTACCCCAAAATGGGGTTCAGCCATTTTTCTAAGGAGTCTTGGCTCCAGAAAAGGAGAATCTTTTTCTTAAATTTAATGATTCACCTTTTTTGTCTTTTCACAGAGGCCTCTCTACATTAAGTTCTGTATTAGATCAAGATTATTTAAGTACCAGTCTAAGCAACCCAGATGTCAGAGACAAGGGTGCGGTGGAGTGGTGGGATTGGACTCTGCTAGGCGAGGGGAATTATTTCAGCCTAAATGATGTTTCATTACTCTGGCAGCTCCCTAGTAGTATATCCTATCTCTGGCCCTTCCGCTCTCCACCCATGATTTTTGTCTCATACAGTTTTTATTCTTTTACTCATCCCCTTATTCATTCTGCTCTTTACTTTTACTTATCTAATGAATTTTAGTGTTAAGATTTTAAGCTTTACAAAATGATTATTTTCCACAGCCATTTCAGCTAATTAATTTGATGCTTAGGTTTTGATGTAATCTTGCTTAATACTAATTTATATTTATTTGTGTTATCTAATAAAGACTTATTTCTTTGAAGAGGTTGCAGTGACAGCTGTTTCTTCCACTTCTTAAACAGTGGTTAGGCAGACTACAGCATTTTAAATTCATGTCATATTTTGGTCTACACTTTCCCTTAAGTTTGGTTTTTAACATCTATTTCATTTTTTTCTGTCAGTTGGTCAGGATTAAGTTAAATATATCTTCTCTTTCATTGTATCCCCAAAATCATTGAGAAGGGCATTTTATCTGCATTTTCCTAACATAAATCTTTCTCTCCAGATGGAGAGTTGAAGTCTCATTGTGCTAGGGAGAAGGAAAGGGGAGGGCATTTTGAAATCTGCTATATCAAAAAAGACATTAAAAATTGATAAAGGTAGGCCTACCTGTTTTTATATTCTGCCACATAGCATGTGTTTAAATGAATTTGCCTATAATTTGTTTCAAACACTGACATTTTACTCCTAAGCTATATAATTGTGCTTGATTTTTCCAGAGTAAAATTCATATTCTGTGACCTAATATGTTCACCTACTATAAAAATTACTGCCTATGGTAACAGCAAGAATAAGAATTTCTTTTTATATACATAATAGCCGGCAGAGACTCCTGGGACCACCACAAATCATTCTCTTCTTTTGGAGCTTGCTTCCTATGGAAATATAAAACCAGACTAGTCTAATGTAGGTTGACTCTGAAAACCTATTTAGACCATCATTTACGCTATTGTTGTTATTTAAGATGCTAAGAATTCAACAGGCTCTTCTAATTAATGTATTCCCTAAGTTTAGTAACCTGTCCTTTCCCTGTGAACTAGCTCCTCTTCTATCATCTACCTCTGGCTCCTTTTTTGTTAAAGGTTAATAATGAGAATAATGAAGCAATTGGTTATTTATGCAGTCATGATTGGCAAAAGTTATTAGAGCAAGAATCTGCCCAGAAGCAATGATTAGGTTATGAAAATGTTAAGGAATACTGAATCCAGACACCATTTTTGACATTTGAGAAATAATATTTCAGCCCTTAATCATGATGATCGGTAGTAAAAGTATTTATACAGAATAAATCCCATTGGATAGTAATTCTTATACCAACAGCATACATAAGTGTTAAGGGGAGATATGAAAATGATCTGAAGGGAAAAAGATCCTGGGGAGGAAATTAGTACAGTGAGAAGTAAGGAACAGAACTCTGTCTTGGGTAGAACTATTTGTCTCCCAGGCACCTGGTCTACAAAGTTAGCGGACCTTTTCCAATTCAGTATTTTCATCTTGAACACTTGGCGAGTTTTAGGAGGTGTGAGAGAAGGTACCCCAGGTTAAATTGCTGTTATTTATATCAAACTATAGAAAATACAGGGAGGTACACAGGCAGAAAATTTCCTGGTGATGTTTTGATTAATGAAATATTGACTTAACTGAAAACTTAACAAAAAAAATCAAATTCTAGTATCTTTATGTTTAATACAGTTAGGAACTTTCTGTGTAAATTGGCAGTACTCTTGCCAGAACAGTGTTATTTCTACCCCACGCTGATTTAAAATAGCTTTAATGTACATAATTCACATAAAATTCACCCATTTAAACTATATAATTAAATGGTTTTGAGTATGTTCCCAAAATATGCAAACACCACTACTTTGTAATTCCTGCACACGTTTATTACCTTTCCCCCAAAATTCATACCTGTTTGCAGTTACTCTTCATTTCTTCTACCCTAACCCTAGCAACCACTAATCTATTTCTGTCTGTATAGATTTGCCTGTTCTGAACATTTTATACAAATGAAATCAAAGACTATGTGGCCTTTTGTGTCTGGCTGCTTTTATTTAGCATGTTTTTAAGGTTCATCCATGTTGCAGCGTGCAGCAGTACTTCATTCCTTCTGAGGGCTGAATAATATTCATTTATAAATATTCCACATTTTGTTTATTCATTTATCAGTGGACACTGAGATTGTTTTCCTTTTCTACTATTAGGAATAATGCCATATTGAATATGTATATACAAGGTTTTGTGTGGACATATGTTTTTTAAAAAGTTTTCTTTGCTTATATATTTAAGAGTCTTCAGGATACACTTTCAGTTCTCTTGAGTATATAACTATGAGTAGAATTGCTGGGTCATATGGTAAAAAAATTCTCTAACATTTTGAAATAGCTAAGTTATTTCCCAAAGTGGTAGCACAGTCTTATGTTCCCATTAGTTGTGTAGGAGGGTTCCAGTTTCTCCATATCCTTGTGAATACTTGTTAGTCTTTTTGGTTATGGTCATCTTAGTGGATGCAAAGTGGTATCTCAGTGTGTTTCTGATTTGCATTTCCCTAATGGCTGTGCTGAGTATCTCTCCCTATACTTCTTGGCTATTTACACAGTTTGTTTTGGGAAATGTCTATTCAAAGCCTTTCCCCATTTTTAAATTGGACTATCTTTTTATTGTTTAGCTGGACAAGGTCTTTATATATTCTGGACACAAATTCTTTACCATATTGTTTCCAAGCATTTTCTCTCATTCAGAAGGTTGTGTTTTTTTCCATTTTTAAATAATGTCCTTTGAAGCACAATCATTTTACATTTTGAAGTCCAATTTGTCTGTTTTTATTTGGTTACTTGTACTTTTACCTAATCCAAGGTCATAAAGATGTACTTTTATATTTTATGCTAAGAGTTTTATATAAGTTTTAACTTTTACATTGAGATTGATGCATTTTCAGCTTTTTTTTTTTTAAATATAGTGTGAGGTAGGGGTTCCTTTACATGTATTTGCATTTCTTTTTGTTTATTCAAATTTAAAGAATCGAGGAATAAATCTCTTTTCAAATGGGATGTTCATTGCTACTCTCTTTGTGAAGTATTGTTTTATGATTTTGGGGGAGGAACACATGTAACTTTTATCTGAAGACTTTATACTTATGACTCTCTCACCCAATATCATTGCATTTCTGGCTCTGTTTTGTTTATTGGAATATGAAAAGCAGCACTGATGGATGCAGTTTGAATCAATTTTTCAGGTTTTTTTTTCCTTAATTTGCAATCTCACCTCTTCAGCTACAGTACAGAGAATGCCAAGAACTTTTAAGCCTCTATCAGAAATATTTATCAGAACAACAAGAGAAGCTTACCATGTCTGTCTCAGAACTTGGTGCTCCTAGAATGCAGGAACAGCAGGTAAGCATCTTCATTTTTACCTTTCTTGTTTTCAGTGGATCAGCAATATGTCAGAAGAACTGTTTGCTTTTTATGTTAATTTTCTCACACTATATAACATTGTTTTAAAACATGTAGCTACTCCATGTGATTGAGTTGATGTCTTTCCCTCCTCCTTTCCTTTCTCCTCCTGTTCCTGGGCCCAGAGATAAGGAATGATTACTTGAAGCAGTCTCTGTGGGTCTGTGGGGAAGCTCCTGGTTGTATGAAAGCACAGCCAGAATGATAAAGAAAACACTGCTCTGTTACTTAATGAAGAAGATCAGGTGGGCTGTTTGTTACTCATTGTCCTTATGAAAAACACGAATAAGCCTTTCTTAATTCATGTTTATTTTGTTACTTGGGGACTTATAAAAACTTTAATTGGAGAATATTAGGATATTTTGCATATGCTTGTATACATGTATTAATCATGTAAGCATATATGAGAGTGTTTATATAAACATTTATACACATATCACGAAGTGGTATATATTACATAATTAAGTAAATGTTCAGAACCCTGCCAGATGTGATGTAAAATAAGCTCTAAAGAACCACTTCTGGTCCTCTAGCAACTGATACTTTATGTCTCTTATATGCTTGAGTTTAAATCTTCAAATGGATGGAAATAAGCCTTACATATTACATTGTAGGAAAAATTATAATAGGGTCAAAGTCATTCATGTTAAGTATCAAAATATAGATAATGTGGCTGGGCACGGTGGCTCACCTGTAATCCCAACACTTTGGGAGGCCAAGGTGGGCAGATCAGGTCAGGAGATTGAGAGCATCTTGGCCAACATGGTGAAACCCCATCTCTACTAAAAATACAAAAATTCGCTGGGCATGGTGGCACGTGCCTGTAATTCCAGCTACTCTGGAGGCTGAGGTGGTAGTAAGCCAAGATCGCACCACTGCACTCCAGCCTGGTTGACAGAGCTAGACTGTCTCAAAAAAATTAAAAAAAAAGAAAAACACCCAAAATATAAATAATGTGCTAAAGTGTTATACTTCTCTTTTTGAATCAGGTCCTAAAGATCAGATTTTAGAATTTTTTTGCAAACCTTTTAAAGAACAGCATTGCTATTGAACTTAGAAACAACTGTTTCGGATGAGTTAAGAGCTTTGGCTAGGGACTTCCAGTTTTGAACCTAAAGTTTGTACATATGGAAAAGTTAAATAAATACATATTTTGCTAGAATGTGATATAGCTGAAACTTTTTGAAGTCACAAAATTTTAAAGAAATAGCCAAAGTATAAATGGTTTGTTTGTATTTTGTTCTGACATATTTTCTTTTGTTCTGTTTTCTGAAAACAGAAAAAAAAGGCAGAGGAAGGTGGCAGCTATTTTTGATTGTTTATGTGAAGTTCCCCTGCTACATTGAAAACAAATCAGGCATTTTTAAGGTAGCCCTTGCCTATTGCTTTTCAGGGGGTTAGAGAATATGGTAGTGTGAAGATCAGATTTCTGACCTTTGGTTTCACATTTCTACTTACTGCTCCTGCATGACATAGATGTGTGAAGAAGGCACAAAACTGAAGGCCAATCCATTTGGCAAGGATATGGGAGGGGAGGTGGAGGAATCTTTCAATTGCCAGTATTAATAGAGTCTTATCTTAAGGCTACAGACCTGATAGTGAAGAAACAGTCACCAGGGAGCCCTAAAGACATGTAGAAAATACCCTTTTTCTATTTACTTTTGAAATTGGAGAAAAATAACACTTTCTCAGGGGTTGGTGATTTATATTGAAGCTAATGATTTCTTGGAGGTTTTGCCCAACAAGTCTGCTTCCTTGCAGTAAGGGCATCATTGCAAAGACTCTATGCTTCAGTGATGACATTGACCTAATTCTTTTCCCACCTCCCACTTACCTTCTGTTTATGTACTTGCAAATAGATTGTGCCCATCTCTGTAATGGTACCTTTCTTGTTATTTTGTAATCATTGTTACAACATTCATCTATCTCCCTTACCAACTTTTTTTTATAAAGAGGCATCCTGTTGCATTGGTTTTTATAAACTCAGAGCCTAACATAGGTCTTAGCTTAAGAAATATTTTTTTCATTAATTTTATTTAACAAACATTTATGTAGTCGATACTATATGTTAATACATATCAAATCATTTAATCCTAACTCAGTGAAATAAGATAGGTTATTATCTCTGTTTTCTGCCTCTTCCAGAGGCAGAATGAATCAATCAATCAGCCAGGTCATACAGATAACAGGTTCGCAAACCCAAGATATGAACTAAGCCAATCTGGTGCTATAGTTTGTTGAAGAAGGAAAGACAAGAAAAATTTGAGATAACTAAAGTTGTTAAAAATTGGCTTTAGATATTCTTGTTTCTATAACTAACTCTCCTTGCCTCTTAATGTGACATACAGATTTTTAAACTCTAGAGCACAAATATGCTAGAGATGGTGTGAAACTATTTTCTTTCCTTGCAAGAATCCACAATGTCAGATAAAACATAAAATTTTATTCTCAAATTTTATAAAATTTCACCTTCAGTTTTTATGATGGTGATGGCAGCAGATCGTTTTTCATGTGGCATTTATTTGACTTTGAGAGACTTGTTCTGTTTCTTTGTATTAGTTGCTCTCTGGTGTAAATTGCATATGATGTATTTTGCTTATAGTTTATTAAATTCACAGTTCTCCAGAAGAATGCCCTAGCTCATTATTTTTGTTTTTGACTTCTGCCATTTCCTTGAAAATCTCTTTATTATCAAGGTGATTTTTTCCCTTGTTTTCTTTCCATCCTCTTTCTCACTTTTTCTTAAAGATGAATGCATTCTACATTTCTTTTATAATTTATTCAGCATTATAAGTTCTTCATAGTGGGTTCTAGAGAGGTCCTTCACTTGTTCTGTTTAGGTTGTAGTATTTATTTGATGTGTGTGTATTACCCCATTATCTTATCTTAATAAATAGTACTTAACTATAGTACAATCCTAGTCTTGAACATGGGAGGGTCTAATAACCATAGTTTTGGTTAATGTACATTTTAGAATATAGCCTTTTCTTATTATAGGAGAGTGTGTGTGGTTTTTTTTTTTTGTTTGTTTTTGTTTGTTTGTTTGTTTTTTATTAATCTAAACTTAGTGTCACCTCACCCATGATGCTCATAGCTTCCATTTTGGTCTTGTTTGATACCATATACAATTTTATAAAAGTTGTCATATTTCCTCAGTACTCTTTATATTAAGAGAAAGCCTAAGCAGCATTTTGAATAGCTTCTCCTACTCCAGTTTGAAAATGTTGGTAGGTAAGCCTATTTCACTATTTTTATTAACTCTGTAGCTTTAGAATTTTCTTGAGATTTCTTTTTTTTTTTTTTCTTTAAAATGGGTAAAATTATTACATTTTAGCCATAGGCAATGGATATTGAATTTCAGCTCCTCTGATCTGGTAAAAGGCTTGTTAGAGAAACTTCTTTATATGCCCTGTGATTACTTGTTCACATTTCATGATAGGTCTGGGTCATGGACTGGCCAAGAATCTGAAATGTACTATACTGAAGATGAATCATTGCTAAGTACAAGCTTAATGTCTGTTGGTGGTTGTTTTCACTATTGTCTCTACAGTGTTATTAAACAGCAATCAGGAATTCGAGACCAGCCTGGTCAACACAGTGAAACCCCATTTCTACTAAAAATACAAAAAATACAAAAAAAAGTCAGCCAGGTATGAAGGCACGTGCTACCATGGCAAAATGATTTCACTTCTGTGACTATGTTTTTAAAAAGATTATGTGGATAGGCCCAATCAATTAAGAATAGCAGAGTTTTCTTTAGCTGAGAGCAAAAGATGAAATCAGAGAGATTTGAAACATGAGAAGGATTGAGCTCACCATTTCTAGCTTTAAATATGAAAGAGGCTTGAAGATAAGGATAGTCCATGTCCAACAGCAAGAAAATGAGGATTTAAGTCCTACAACCACAAGGAGCTGTATTCTGTCACAACAACCTGAATGAGCTTGGAATCAGTTTCCTCCTCAGATATTCCAAATTAGATCGCAGCTCAGCTGACAACCCAAATTCAGTCTTGTGAGAAACTAAACATAGAACCTAGTTGAGTTGGCCTGTACTTTTGACCTATGTAACTGTGAGCTAATGAATTTGGGTTACTTTAAGCTGTTACATTTATGGTAACTTGTTTTGCAAAAATAGAAAAAAAATACATACAGAGGGCTCCAAGATGGCCAACTAGACCCAGCCAGTAGGAACATTTCCTACCAAGGGACTGGGACATCAGGAAAACTGATACACTCCTAGCAGATCTTCAGAAGAAAGGTGTTGAGAGCGGGCTGAAGGAAGGAAGAAACAGATGCTGGGCTGAAAGGGGAGGAAGCTGGGAACCCTGCATGGGGCTGCTGCACACTGGGGCTTGTTCCTGGCCCTCCATGACTCCTGTGGAGTGGGTAAATTGAACAGACATGGAGCAACTCACTGTCATCATAGGCCTTTGGAATCCCAGAAATAAGACAGTCACACAACAATAAAGAAAAAATGAAAAGTAATGAACAAAATCTTCAAGAAATATAGGATTATGTAAAGAGACAAAATCTTTGACCCATTGGCATCTTTGAAAGAGATGGGGAGAAACAACTTGGAAAACATATTTCAGGATATCATCCATGAGAACTTTCCCAACCTAGCTAGAGAGGCCAAGATTCAAATTCAGGAAATGCAGAGAACCTCTGCAAAATACTTCACAAGAATATCATCCTTAAGACATGTAATCATCAGATTCTCTAAGGTCAAAATGAAAGAAAAAATATTAAAGGCAGCCAGAGAGATAGGAGAGGACACCCAGAAAGGGAGGCCCATCAGAATAACAGTGGAACTCTCAGCAGAAACTCTGTAAGCCAGAAGAGATGGGAGGCCTATATTCAACATTCTTAAAAGAAAAGAAATTTCAGCCAAGAATTTTATATCTGACCAAACTAAGCTTAATAAGTGAAGGAGAAGATCA